CATATACATATACATACATACATACTATGTGAGTGTGTGTATACATGCACATCTCGTTGACCCTCAGGAAACCTAAGCCTCTTGTAGTCAACGGTCGATCTACGTTTCCTTTGCAAATATCAGCCAGGGCTCTCGCCTCCGCTCAGGCCCCTCGACGCCAGATGAGATCAAGAAGATGGGGCTGTCTGCCAAGTCGTGCACCTTTGCACAGAGCTGTAGTGCATTACATGATTAATCATGTAGAATGCTCATGATGTATGAGTGGTTAACTGTGATGCAATGACTTTGGGTGTCAAAAGGCCACGAGAAGCTCGAGGTGCTCAGAGAGCAGTGGGAGTCATGCGCAGGCAAATGGAAAGAGAGCCAAATCTATTTGAGCATCTTGCAGAAATCCCGCGAGAGAAAGATGGGGCGCCGCGTATGGATGACGCGACAGATGATCGTGGACAAATACAAGTCTGAGAGCGTGGCGGACAGAATCATAACCAACAAGTTGTCGAATGAAGATACAAAGAAAAGCCAGACGAAAGCTCACCCTGACGACCCTGACAACGAGGCAGTCTGGCTGCATGAAATCGGCATGCATTGCATTGCTTCTCTATGTGGCTGTATCACGGACCATGTGCATGTGTGGCCTAGGAGCTCCGCTTGTACTTGATCTGGGACACCGAGCAAGAAGAGACCACAGAGGACACCATTCTGATGCAGCTCTTCTCTGCTGTGGACAAGGATGACGACAGCCAAGAGGCAAAGCAGGACAAGAAGAGGAAGTGTGAAGAGAAGAAGAAAGGAAAGAAGCGAGGCAAGTCCAGCAGCAGCTCCTCGCAGGACTGCATGCAGAGTCTATCAGAATTCGGGCAGGGCTTTTGTGCACTCCATAAGTACCAGGTTCAAGTTTCGTCGACATTAGGATTTTCGTGTGTTTATAGTAGTATACATCACATGCACATAAGCCTGGTAGTCCACACATTCATGCACATTCATGTGTCTAGAAAACCCTAAACCCTAAACCCTAAACCCTCAGAATCTATAGGTCTAGACCGATCAGACAGTACTTTGAGCTCATGCCGAACACGCACAGACATGCACGCATAAATGTTTTATGAATGCATGCATGCCAGCATTTGTCTCTCTGACATGGAGACTTTTACAAGCTTATTTTTCCAAGCTTCTATTACGTACACATGGACCACCCACAAAATCAGAATGTCAGCACTGCAAGGTTAGGGACCCCCATCACTGCAGAGGGCCACAGCTTGTGTCTATCTAGAAGATTGCAGGCATTAGGTGGGTAAAGACAGAAATCGGAGACCTAGATCCCCTAAAACGATCTATATCTATAGAGACCTATAGAACCTAGCTACATAAGCCTTCGAGCCCTCTAGTTCCTCTTCATACATACCAGATAAACACATTTATGGTAATAACTCGGCCGGCCTAGGACTTTACACAGTGCAGTTCTCATGACAACTGACACAACCTCGGTCTATGTATATACGTATATATATATATACATATATATGTATGTATGTAGTCTAGACTATTATGAAGGATTTCCCCAAGTCGTCTCCCTAGTTTCTCCAGGACTCAAGCAATTCCAGCAGCGACGAGAAGAAGAAAAGCAAAAAGAAGGGCAAGAAAAAGGGCAGCGCCAAGAAGGGAAAGAAGAACCGTAAGGAGACGAAGGAGCAAAAGGAGAAGCGCTTGGCCAAGGAGCGGCTGTTGCTGGCCAAAGAGTCCGAGCGCGAGAAGGAGAAGGATCGGAGGAACAAGATTTCTCAGGCCAAGAAGGCAGGGCAAAAATGCTTTGCAAAGTTTCTGTGTCACCCTGAAGAATATCTGGGCTTATATATGTTATGTATATCTATAGGACTGGCATTCCTCGATCATGGATCCGAAGGAGACATAGAACTTATTGTCAGCATGCCATGGACTGTCGATCAAGTAAAAAAAGGCACTCACATCCAAGTGCGATTCTCCAAAAATATGTGAACGAGCCCCAAGACGCACGAACTCCACACCTCAAAACCCCTAAACCCCGGACTCTCAAGGAAACCCCTAAAATGCTGATCTGATTTGCACAGTACAACCCGAATAATTAAACCCCTGAAAGAACAAAACCTCCAAACTGAAACCCTGAGTAGCCTGAGTATGTATGTATATATATATATATAGATTTGTTTATAATATGTGTAACTAATGGAGTGTAGATATTCAGGCTGACACCCCCAGAACAAATGCAACAAAACTCCAGAGCCCCCAAGGCTTAATGGCCCTAACACCTTACCTCTCATCATACTTCTGAACCAGTAGCACTTGGCCCTGTCCAGGCCTTGGCCTCCGCCAATGACATGATCATCAAGGGCCGCGCCAAGCAGCTCAAAGTCCAGACTCTGCCACATGCCTTGGATTTGTCCATATATCCATGAAATAATGTATGTAACTTATATATTATAATTATATTTTAAGACAAAAAAACACCTTAGAACATAAACAAAAGATCTTTTGTTTATGTTCTAAGGTGTTTTTTTGTCGGAAGTCCTCGATGCCTGGGCCTTCCATCCTGACATGCTCATGTGGTACTAGCCTTAGTAGCCCCTGCCTAGCTGGCCTGCCTTGATCCCAGGTCGAAGACCTGTGTAGATAGATAGGGATTTTCTTCCCCACTGGGTCCATCTCTGAAGACGAGACATCTGAATGCCCTATACCCAATTGCTAGACTCTGAAAGCCACGAAAATAATATAATAAACATATAAAGATCTTAAGACCTATGTCCATACATGCCTAAATGCTAAACCCCAACATCCCAAACCCTGGACCTCTAAACCCTAAAGCCCTGAACCCAACACCCAAAACTTACAAACCCTCCTAAACCTTAAACCCCAAACCCTAGCTAGCCCTAAGCCCTAGATATAATAGAATTGCTAGACTCTGGAAACTACGAAAACCATATACCTGTTCTATATAAACCATATAAAGACCTATGTCCAAATATGCCTAAATGCTAAAACCCATTGCAAACCCTGGACCTCCAAACCCTAAAGCCCTCTGAAAGCCACTAAAACTATATACGTGTTCGATATATCACATCAAGATCTATGTCCAAACATGCCTAAATGCTAAACCCAAACATCCCAACGTTGCCCCGGACCTCTAAACCCTCAAAAACCCCTGAACCCAAAACCCAAAACTTACAAACCCTCCGAAACCTTAAACCCCAAACCCTAGCTCTAAACCCTAGAAACTGCTGCACTCTGAAAACCACTAAAATCACATACGTGTTCTATATATAAACCATATAAAGATCTATGTCCAAACATGCCTAAAAATGCTAAAACCCAAACATCCCAATCCTTGGACCTCTAAACCCTAAAGCCCTGAACCCAAAACCTCCAACCCCTCCTAAACCGTAAACCCCAAGCCCTCATATTTGATGCCACGGCCCCATGCTTCCAAGGTCTGTGGCACTCAGGGATGCGATTCAGGAGGACCTGGACAAGGAGCTGGCGCTTTTGGCCGAAAAGCGAGATGATATCCAGCAGGCGCTGGATGATCATGAGGACAGTGCTGTAGGGGCTTAAGCCTACGGGCTTCAGTCAAGTGGCATTACAGAATTCTGTAAGTATGTCCACATACTGTGTAAAACCCTAAAAAAATACTATTCCATAGGTTTGCAAGGCCTTTACTACTCGTGCTAGTGCTGGTCTTCTTGTGCAAACATAAGATACCTTTGCAGATGTATATGTGTTGTGAAGACAAAGAAAAGAGTCCCAGTATATTGGGTTCTACGAGCAAGCTAGTACAGACCTCCTACCAGTCATACCAACCTTACATTGACTGCGGCTATGACTAGGACCCAGGAGTGCTACTACTATTAGGACGTAATTATAGTTCTGAGGCTCGTATTACCTCCAGCATGGATACGAGGATGACAAGGACTGCTGCTTCTATGACGCCTACCTCTATTGTCGTGGTCCCTGCTAATGCTACCAGTACAACACTCACTGGTGCTGCTGCTACTGCTGTGACTTAGTACTGCTGCCACTAGTAACTCTTAGAACGCGGGGACGATTAGTCTAGTAGCTGCTGTGACAGCAGTAACACTCGACTAGCCCATCAAGCTAGACAGTACATCTGGGATGTCACACATTCCAGTGCCCAGAATACATTGTTTATAGCAGTTCGAGCAAAAATATTGCATATATATATATATACATACCCATATCTATATATATATACATATATATATATATACATATATATATATATATGTATATGTATATATATATATATCATGCAAAGCAAGCTTTGCTAGCATGTGCAGTGGTATATGTATATATATATGGATATATATGTGTATGGATAAACATAATATTTTGCAGTCTCTGTGTATGGTATTCACATAGATGCATCTAGTGTAACCCAGTGCATTTATACGGGGGCTATGCTAAAACTATATATATATATATATATGGACATACATACACACAAGTAATCTGGGATTTGGTATCAGCTGTGCATGATATATATATATATACATACATATACATATACATATATGTATATGTATGTATACGTGTTTGTAAATGAAACTGATATACAGTGATCTATCGATCATTATAACACGATGTTCGAACTACAATATCAATAGACATCCTCCTTTTGTCCTACATCCCTGTGATCACAGAACCTTCATAAACCCTGACAGGACGATTTGGAGTCGGTGAGTCAGGCTGCAGACAAGCAGGTCAGTGAGTTCAAGGACTTCCTGACACGTACGTGTTTGGGATGAAGTGCTGAAGTCAGTGCTTCTTGGGTAGCCCGCTTGCAGCCAGTGATCATCCCGAGATGACTAGTGCTTAGTACTACCAAGCTAGGCCTAGGCTTTGGCGCTTCCTAGCCTCTTTGATAAGTCTTCCAGTGCCCTCCTAGGCCTGCCCCTTCGATGGATGCATCCCTGTGTCTGTTTTTTGTGGGCTGGACGTTTTGACCGTCCCCGAAGGTTGATTGATGCCGTCCATGCAATCAACGGCCGAAGCTACCGAAGGTAGTTCTTGCAAAGATCTTAATTCTGATGATCTCTGATGGCAGCTGCCACACTGAGCAGCCGTTGTCATGACGACCCCGTATTATGGGATACGGGCCTCTCCTAGTGCACCCAGAGCTCGAAGCGATGATGTGCCTCCAAAACATGATAGTAATAGTGTGTGTGCAAGGGCTTCCTGCAGCCGTGTCGCATTTGCCGGAGTTCATCTGCAGCAGAATCAACCATCATCCTCAGACCGATCGTGGGTGTCATTCCCCCCCGCAGGTGACAACCCATCGCAAGGATATTCTGCTGTGCTGGAGAATGCATTGCATCAAGTCAGCACCGGAGCTGCCTGGCTGAACCGTGTGTGTATGTGCAGACAAAATATCCTCAGAAGTCTTCCCCTGTGTCGCAGCATTTACCAGGCAAGATCTTTAGACTAACCCCTGCATCCTTACACCGGTACTGGCTACTGCTAGGATCCTACTCCTATGTGGTTGAAGTGGATCTGCAGCATAACATCCAGTAGCCAACCCATGTGAAAATCCAACTTATTCTACTGTCGATCAAGCCAAGGCAAGCTCAGTGGCAAAGGCCATGCGAGACATGAGGGCCCACGTAGAAGAACCTCGGCTGGCATCACGTACCAGTTTACTGCACAATGTCCAGCTTGCATGCATGTGTGGTTTTGGTCTGACTTCACTTGATCTAATACGTGATGATCTAATTCCATGGGAAGGATGCCGGTGCTGTTGCTACGGGTGATGTCCTCCGCTTGGGCTCCTATTCCGACAAGAATGAAGCGCGCAACTTCTGGAAAGCTGTGAAGATTCCGATTGTCTCTCCGATGCAACTAGCTGCTCAGGCTACCTTGAGGCTGCCTGGTTCGCAGTTCTACATCTACCCTCATGAGGGTTTAGAGCTGAGGGTTCGGTTCAGGGTTCAGGTTTTATTGCTTAGGCCTAGGGTTTA